CTTTTTGTAATAAATAGATGAGGTTTGGGGGATTGGTAAATTGGTAATAGGTGGATTTTGAATTGTTTCTAGAACTGCATTTTTGGTTTTGTCAAGATTTGTGAAATAAGGGTAATTGCTTTAATTCCTCAAAGAATTGGGTTGCAGCCTAAATGATATCAAGGGGCTGATGTACCCACCTAACCTCATTATTTTCAATTTGGCTTTTTAAAAATATATGTCATGGGGCGCCTGGGTGGCTCAGTGGGTTGGGCAGCTGCCTTCGGCTCGGGTCGTGATCTCAGGGTCCTGGGATCGAGCCCCGCGTCGGGTTCTCTGCTCAGCGGGGAGCCTGCTTCCTCCTCTCTCTCTGCCTGCCTCTCTGCCTGCTTGTGATCTCTCTCTGTCAAATAAATGAATAAAATCTTTAAAATAAAATAAAATAAAATAAAAATATTCAGGAGAGGATTTCCAGCTAAGATGAAAATAAAAAGATATCTATGGATTTAGAACTGTTTGTCTCTGGAATGTTTTAGTAAATCTTTCTACAAATGCTTGAGATGTTTTTCTTTCCCTCTGGATACATCATTTCATTTTTGCCAGGCAATCTAAAAATAATTCTCTCAGGGTCTCATTATCAGCTTCCAATCTGGTCAACTTCTTGCCACAGAACTACTTTAAAAATTCTTGTAAATATCTTGTCACCTTTCAGCCAGGAAAATATTTCTGGCAGTACTGAATACTCCTTGTATAGAAAAGCAGTCCCTGAAGAGGGTAAAAGATACTAATTTCCCAAGATCCAAAGTCACACGCAAAGATAGGCAAGAGAAAGAAATGTCAACCTGCATGTCCCAGGCAGGCAGAAAGCCAAGTCAAGATCTTAGGACATAAAAGAAACAGGAAGGCAATAGTTGTCCCTGGGAGAGAAATGATCAATAACCAACAGGTATGGATTTGGAAAGGAAAGGACAAAGTGAAGTTTTATTTTCCTTTCTTAACTGGACACTATAGACAGATGTTCAGGAGACCTGACTCTTGGTAAGAACTCTTACCCTATTCTGACTTTTGCCAGTTTTCTCAGGATCCCCACTGTAGGCTCCACTCTCTACTAGGATTTGGCAAGGTTTTTCATTCATTTTAATTTTAGTTTCCCCTGGGCTTTTTAAGGGAATAATGTAACAGTTTACAAAAAAATCTGTCAGGGTCTTATCAATTCTGGAGGTGGAGGGCATTATGAGGGGCTCTTCTTTGTAGGTAAATATGGGGGCATTTGAGTGGATATTGAAGAATTTGCACAAAACCTATGAGGATGGTTTTTCTCCTTATGTCTCAGTTGATTACAAATGAGACATCAATTTCTGGGCCAGTGTTTTGATGAAGGACTCCAGGGAGCATGTAATGAAGAAGTCCTAAGTATTGTTTCAGATACCTTTTGCATCTTTAATTTTTCATTAGACTTTTGCAAAGACAATTTGCATGAAGTTATTTTGGAATCTTAAAGCCTTTTGGAAGCTTTTAAATCCCAATTAAAATAGGTATCCCATTCTCTCTGCTTGATTTGGAAACCCTTGTTTGTAAGTGTACTTCTTAAATCAATGATCTTGTCTCATTGGAATGTTCCCCATGATGGCCATTGTAATTCTAGGTTGTCTTTAGTTAGATTTTGCCATTTTAGTAGTATTTATAGCTTCTGTGGCTGTAGTTTCAAGACATAAAATAAGTAGATGTTCCAGAAGGTGGTATGCTCAACTCTTTGAAATTTGAGGGTCTCTCTCTCTCTCTTTCTCTCTCTCTCTCTTTTTCAGCTAAGCCTTTGGGTCTCTTGGAGTCAAACTAATACCCACAGGGGCTGTGCCACTGGGTTGGGGATTATGTGGTGTTTTACACTGTGCCTTGTTACTTGGACATTTTCTTGAGGTTTATGAATGACTGAGTGTCAATCTAACCTGTTCTGTGACCAACTTATTCTACCACAAGAGTCTTAGAGTTTAGTAGCAGATGCTCTAACAGCTTTTAAGTGCTCAATCCATGCCCACCAATTTTGTAGCTTTTGACTTCCAAGATTCCATTAGCAATAGCCTTTATCTACACAAAACAAGTAAAACAAAATTCTATTTTGGACCAAGCCCAGCTTTCAAGTTAGATCCAGTCCAACTCCAACCAGTAACGACCAGCAGTTCCCAATGTGGAATTTGGGGACTGAACCAAGGGCTGGGGATTCCAGTCCAATGGAGAACTGTGGAAAGCTAATTAGAGTGGGAGCTTGACACAAGAGAGTGGAGCTCAGAACCAAGGAGAACCTATGCACAGCCCTCAGAATGGTCAGAAAGAGAATTCAGAGGGTCTGCAGGTATCATGCCTGTTTCTCACTGTTCCTGAAAGCCATCAGGAGTGTTCTTTGGATTCCATCACTGCTACCAATTCTCTTAAAAAACAAAACTCAACTGAGTACACTCTAGAGTCTTACAGGCTTTATTCAATAACTTATGAATCAAGGAGCATCCCACCTAGCAGATAGATCAGAGCTCCAAAGAGCTGCACAGAATGAAAGACTTTCATAAGCAGAAAGGGATGGGATAAGGAAGTTACTAGTGAAAAATGGATTATTTGTGGCAAGGTCACCTTCCTTTAGGGGATGGCAGAGGTTTAAGAAGCAGATTACCTCATTGGTCATGACCAGGTAACTCCAGATTAAGACTCCACTCTGAGGAGAGGTTGAAATGGTAATTAAGTTAGGTATTAAATCTCAGTTTGGTGATGTGAGCTTTGCATAAGTGACTCCATTTGGAGTTTATTATCTCTTTGTAAACAGTAGTTATTACAGAAACAGTATGGCCAGCAAAGTAAAAAAAGTATTTACTATCTGGTGCTTTACCAAAAAAAGTTTGCCAAACCTTGATCTAAAATATGGGTTAAAAAAAACAACAACAAATAAAATCCCTGTGTGTCAGTTACCAAATTTAGAACTTACACTACATCAAAAATTAATGATCTACTACATATTGGCTAATTGAACATAATAATAATAATAAAATAATTTACAAGGTAGCTGGAAGCAAAAGAGGATATGTAAATAGATAATCATAAAATAAAAATATATTTTAATGTAATTTATATCATGGTTTTTGATGTGAGAAATCTATCACTTGTAAAGGTATTGCCATTGCCATTGGACTTGGGAAAGAAAGCACACTCCAAACATAACTGAAACTGCAAACTATTTGAATAATAAGTAGATTAACTTTACTTAGCAATTAAAGATTCAATACTGAATTCAAGTCAGATATGTGTATATAAAACAACTAGTCTCTAATTACATGTCATAAATCAAAATCCAAACTAAAATCATATCTGATATATAATGTAAGCATTGTCCATTATTTTTAAAAAGAGAAAAGATTATCTAAACTTATATTTTAGATGCTGTATTAACATCTCTGAGTTGTACTGGACAGTGCAAGAGTTCAGGAGAGAAATACAAGGCACCTGAAAAAATAAAATTACATATTGGAATTATGGGAAACCCACATTTGTTTATTCCTTTGTGCCTCCCAATAAATATTTATTGAGCACTTGTGATATGCAAATCACAAGTTCTATGAAGGATGCAAATATTCCTGTCTTGAAAGAATTTGTCATCTTTGGGGAAAATAATGCATGTGCACACCCATAATTATAATACAACTTGGAGTCTGGTGAGTTCAGTAGGAATACAGGGCTATAGAGGGAGCATTAGAAAGAGAGTCTAAGAAGAAAGAACATTATGAGTAAAGCTGAAAATAGGAAAATAGAAGGTGTGTTTGGAAAATGTTCAGCATCCTACTGGCCACCATCTAAGGTACAAAAGGAAAGTAGTTTGGGGGAACTTAAGGTAGAAAAATCCACTGGGGGAGCACACGAGGAGCTTAAGGACCTGTCGAGAGTTTGTATTTATCCAGCAGGAATATCACTGGAAAAACACTGAAGACTGCTAGATATGGGAGTGATGAGATTGACCTGATGGTAGTCAAAAGGATAGGCTGGATGCGAGGTGAGCCAGAGACCAGAGAGGACCCAATTTCTAGTCCAGGGTGAGGGATTAAGATCCAACACTAGAACCATGGTGGATGGAATGGGAAAAAAGTCACAGAATGGAGAGGTATTGTGAAGGGAAAAGAAATGTAAGATTTGACAGTAAACAAGATGGGACAAAGTGAGGGAGAAAAAAAAATTAAACACTGAAATCGTTTCCTGACCTAAACAACAGGAAACAGCATAGTACTATCAACAGAAATAGAGAGTTCAGGAGAAGGAAGTGTTTTGAGGGAAATAATAAAACCCACTTTAAAAATGCTCAGTGGATTGAACTGTTGCTGGAAGCACACCCAGATGGAATATCTAAATAGGCAATTGGAAATGTGGGAGTTTTCCTCCCAAAGAAAGTGTGGGGCTGAACAATTTGACATGGCAGTCATCCATGGTCCCAAATCATTTTCTAATTACCCATAGAAAGTGGAATATAAGACCTGTATATAGTTATATAGTCTCACTTGGAAAGTGACCAGGAAAATAGAAATAAGCATTCAATTATTCAACAAATAATTATTGAGCATCTTTTAGGTACTAATCATTGGACTGTGCTCTGGTGACTCAGTGATGAGGGAGGGACACCAATTCAGCCCTCAAAGAGGTTGCTGTAGCTCATTTTTAGGAACACTGCCACATCTTCAGGGCTTCTTAATTATTTTGTGGTAGGGGACTGGGTGGCACAGTAGGTTAGGTGGCTGACTCTTGGTTTCCACTCAGGTTGTGATCTCAGAGTCGTGAGATTGTGCCCCATATGGGGCTCCACACCCAGCATGGAGTCTGCTTGAGGTTCTCTCTCTCCCTCTCCCTCTGCCTCTCCCTTCACAAATTAATAAATAAATCTTCAAAAAAATAATTATTTTGCAGTCAACAGTCTTTTCACAGTGGCCTTCCTACTAAATCTGTCTTGTTGAATTATTTAAAGGCTCCTCTAATTCAGTTTATTTTTCTTTCAGGATACATATAGCGGTTTGATGGGTCCTCTGATTATTTGCAGAGAAGGAGTGTTGAATGAAAAGGGAAGAAGAAGTGATGTTGATTATGAATTCGTTCTCTTGTTTTTGGTATTTAATGAGAATGAATCCTGGTATCTGGATGACAATATTAAGAAGTATCTCAATAAAGATCCACGAAATTTTAAGCGCACTGACGATTTTGAAGAGAGCAACAAAATGCATGGTATATCAGAGGTTTAAAAAGAAGACCCTTGTCGATATAAGCTTATAGAAATTCCTATAACTGTAGTAGGTCCCCAACCTCCTTCTCTGAACCCTTCCCCATTCCCAGGGGCACCTGGACTAGAGAAAGTCCTCTAGACCTTTCCTTCAGAGGGAATGAACTAAGCCATTGATTGGCTGCCAGCAAGGTCCAGTGCAACTTTGGATAAATTATGTAGGGTGCTCTATCTCAGAACTCTGGGATCCCTAAACTATAAGATTGTAAAGTAATTCCTAAAAAATGAATTATCACTTATGGGTATATTTCTATAAGAATACATCATAACATCAAGCTAATCAAATTTAAGGGCCTGGTTACACTGACTCAGGGACATGAAATTCCATCACCAAATTTCTCTTTTATTGTGTCTATGCTATTTATTTAATTCTATGTACTTTAAGGCAGTTTTTTTTTAAGTGAGAGTAATATGTTCTAATTGACACATTCGTACTATCATACCAAGATCTACTTCTGACCAAAATATACAAAAAGATAGACCTTGCCCAAGGTCACAAAGCTAATTATTGCTAACACTGATTAGAATACGTAGGCTGATTTCTGATTCAGCTACTCCTTCCCCTGCCATTTTGCTTCCCTTCCCCCAAAGTTTCTGAGTATGCTATTTTTAATAAATGTAACTCATTTGGCTGTAGCACAATGCACAGAACAAAAATTTAGTAGAAAACAGAGGGAGAGTCCCCATCATGTCAACCCAGCTGGAGTTTGCTTTGGTCATTGTGAGGGCACGGGCTCAGTCCGTGTGAAGCTTTCCTCCTTTTGACAATTCAGTCATGCTTAGGAACTTGCCCCAGACTGGTTCTCAGAAAGCAAAGAGTTAAGGGAATAGCTTCTAAGTCATTCAATTTTGACTTATAGGACCTTGATTCTCTGTGCTTTAGTTCACTCATCTATAGAATGGTCTAAATAAGGGCTGCTTCAGAAATAAGCCTGTAACCTACTCTATAAAGAGAATGTGCAAAACCAGCAAGCACACAGACAACACCCTGCTACCCAAGACGTAGCTTTTGAAAATAAACTGTGACTTCTCTTTTCCGGCTCTCTTTTGTAAGGATCTCTTCATAACCTGGATTTTGGGTCTGGAATGGTGGGAACATTGGTGTGAGTACGATGGTTATGTGTTTATTAGGCAGATGAAAATATGGGTAACTTAAAGATCTTGAACCGTTTCTAAAACCAGATTAAGTAATGACCACTAATCAAAGACTGTTTTCATCTTCTCAGCTATCAATGGAAAGATTTTTGGGAATCTCCATGGCCTTATCATGAATGAAGATACGATGACGAACTGGTATCTGTTGGGAATGGGAAGTGAAGTGGACATACATACCATCCATTATCACGCTGAGAGCTTTCTTTTCAAAGTAAGTATTAGGAATATGCTTTGGGGAAGACTTTTTGAACTCGAAGAGTCAATGTATGTTCACTGTGAATAAAGATGACTTGTGAGGGTCATATTAGAAAATGGAAGATAATAATGTGATTATACCCTCCCCCTGGTAGGTATTTCTTAATATGTGTATATATTTTGTTGTGCTTACGAGAAACTCTCCAAGCTTCAGAGGGGAGTTTTCTCATCAGTTGTATGGGGATAATTTTTACCACTCTGGATGATGCTGTTAATACTACATATAAAAGCCCCTGTAATAGTCTGTTCCTTATCCTTAACCTTCCCCCTTTTCTTTTACTTTCTTTTTATTTCCTTTGTTTTCTATGTCATTTGCTAACAGAAAAGCCCTATCCAGTAGATACTTCAAGCTGGCTCCAAAATTTTATCTTGTCTTTTTGTTTTTTTCCGGCGCAGCTGAGCTGGGCTGGACCATGTGTGGTCTGCCTGTCTAGCATCAAGCTGTTCCATCTTGGTGGCACTGACTGTACAGAATCACTCCGGGGGGGCTGTTTAAGGAAGAGACTGCCGGGCCCCACCCCTGTCCTGAGGAATCAGCATACCAGGAATAAGATCTAAATAGGCCATCATCCTGGGGTGCCTGGGTGGTTTAGTCAATTAAGAGTTTGACTTCAGGGATGCCTGGGTGGCTCAGTTGGTTAAGCAGCTGCCTTCGGCTCAGGTCATGATCCCAGCGTCCTGGGATCGAGTCCCACATCAGGCTCCTTGCTCATCAGGGAGCCTGCTTCTCCCTCTGCCTCTGCCTGCCACTCTGTCTGCCTGTGCTTGCTCTCTCTCCCTCTCTCTCTCTGACAAATAAATAAATAAAATCTTAAAAAAAAAAAAAAAAAGAGTTTGACTTCAGCTCAGGTCATGATAGTGGGGTCCTGATATCAAGCCCTGCTTCTGGCTCTGTGCTCAGAGGGGAATCTGCTTGTCCCTCCCCTTCTCCCTCTGCATCTCCTGCTGCTCGTTCTTTCACTCTTGAAAATAAATAAATCAAATCTTTAAAAATAAATAAATAAATAGGCCATGGTCCTAAGAGCTTAGTGAAGTCTATAGGGAGAAAGAATAGAAAAGAATGATCACATCTAATCCGTGGAAGAAACTGCATTGGGCCTTTTATGGTTAAACAGCAATAAATAGTAACTTTAACAAACGCCTAATATTTCCCCTCTGTGTATTTATTTAACATAGTTAAGACACCAAATATTAGCCTACAATGACTACAGTTTACATATTAAATGGCTGCGCTGCTCTTCAGAACTTGCCTTTTTCAACTCACATCTTTAAAAATACATTAAAAATTTATAAAATTTAATAAAACTATAAAAATCATTCTATATGCCTATACAGTTATTTTGTACACATATAAACTTCAAAAATTTAAGTACAATTGCCATTGAGCAAAAGCCCCTTTATTTAGTGTACAGTTCTATTTGGGGCAGCACATATGATAGCGTAATCAATACTGATTAACAGCCCCATTACCCCCTTAAATGTCCTTGTTGCACTTTCTAGAGGAAGGTACTTTCTCATGCTTAACCTTTGGCAACCACTGATCTACTTTCTGTCTCTGTAGTTTTGTCTTTCCTGAAATGTCAAATCAATGGAATCAAACCATCTACAGCATTTTCTTTTTTTTTTTTTTTAAGATTTTATTTATTTATTTGACAGAGAGAGATCACAAGTAGACAGAGAGGCAGGAAGAGAGAGAGAGAGAGAGAGAGAGGGAAGCAGGCTCCCTGCTGAGCAGAGAGCCCGATGCGGGACCTGATCCCAGGACCCTGAGATCATGACCTGAGCCGAAGGCAGCGGCTTAACCCACTGAGCCACCCAGGCGCCCCATCTACAGCATTTTGAAACTGGCTTGTTTCACTTAGAATACACGTTTGAACTGCATCCATCTTGCGTGTTATCAGTACTTTGTCCCGTTTGATTGTTGAGCAGTATTCCAATGTGTGAATACATTGCAGTTTGTTAATCCACTTTCCCATTGAGGGGCATTTGGGTTCTTTCTGGGTTTTAGTTATCACAAATAAAGTCATTGTTTCCCCTCCCTTTCCCGATGATCCTCTGCACTATTTCTTATATTCCACATATGAGTAAAACCACAAGATAACTGTCTTTCTCTGATGGACTTATTTCACTTACCATAATACCCTCCAGCTCCAACCATGTTGATGTAAATGGTAGGTAGTCATCCTTTCTGATGGCTGGGTAATTATTATATTGTATGTACAAAACACATCTTCTTTATCCATTCATCTGCTGAAAGACATCTCAGCTCCTTCCACAGTTTGGCTCTTGTGGACATTGCTACTATTGGGGTGCAGATGCCCCTTCTTTTCACTACATCTGTATCTTTAGGGTAAATAACCAGTAGTGCAATTGCTGCTGGGTCATAGGGTGGCTCTATTTTCAACTTCTTGAGGAACCTCCATACTGTTCTCCAGAGTGGCTGTACCAGCTTGCATTCCCACCAACAATGAAAGAGTGTTCCCCTTCCTCCACATCCTTGCCAACATTTGTTTTTCCTGTCTTGTTAATTTTAGCCCTTCTAACTGGTGTAAGGTGGTATCTCATTGTAGTTTTGATTTGTATTTCCCTGATGACAAGTAATATGGAACATTTTTTCATGTGTCTGTTGTCCATTTGTATTTCTTCTTTGGAGAAGTGTCTGTTCATGTATTCTGCCAATTTTTTGACTGGATTATTTACTTTTTGGGCGTTGAGTTTGAGTTCTTTATAGATCTTGGATACCAGCCCTTTGTTTGTTATGTCATTTGCAAATATCTTCTCCCATTCTCTAGGTTGTTGACTGTTTCCTTTGCCTTGCAGAAGTTTTTTTATCTTTATGAAGTCCATTATGAAGTTCATTTTTTGCCTTTGTTTCCCTTGCCTTTAGAGATGTGTCTTGCAAGAAGTTGCTGTGGCCAAGGTCGAAGGGGTTACTGCCTGTGTTCTCCTCTAGGATTTTGATTGATTCCTGTCTCACATTTAGGTCTTTCACCCATTTTGAGTTTATCTTTGTGTATGGTGTAAGAGAATGGTCCAGTCTCATTCTTCTGCATGTGGCTATCCAATTTTCCCAGCACCATTTATTGAAGAGACTGTCTTTTTTCCATCGGATATTCTTTCCTATAGTTGACCATAGAGTTGAGCGTCCATTCCTGGAATCTCTATTCTGTTCTATTGATCTATGTGTCTGTTTTTGTGCCAGTACCTTGCTGTCTTGATGATCACAACCTTGTAATATTGCTTGAAGTCAGGCACTGTGTGGACCCCCAGCTTTGGTTTTCTGTTTCAACATTCCCCTGGATATTAAGAGTCTTTTCTGGTTCCATACAAATTTTAGGATTGTTTGTTTCAGCTCTGTGAAAAATGCTGATGGTATTTGGATTTGATTGCATTGAATGTGTAGATCGCTCTGGGCAGTATAGATATTTTAACAATGTTTATTCTTCCAATCCATGAGCATAGAATTTTTTTCCATCTCAGCATACAGATCTTGAATATATTTTGTTGGATTATTACCTAAGCAATAACATGGGTTTTGGTGATAGTATAAGTTGCATTGTCTCTATTTCAATTTCTAATTTTTAATTACCAATATATAGAAGTATAATTGACTTCTGTATAATTGATCATGTATCCTACAACTTTGCTAAATAGTTCTAGTAGCTTTTTTGTAGATTTTGGGGTGATGGTTTCTTACATAGACAATCTTCTTTTCTGTGAATTGGGATGGTTTTATTTCTTTATTCAATCTGTATGCCTTTTATTTCTTGTCTTGCCTTATTGCACTGGCTAGGACCTCTAATGTTGAATCTGAATGGTGAAAGGGAATATCCTCGCCTTAGTCTTGATGGGGGCTGGGGGGAAGTACTCAGTTACTCATCACTGAATATAAAGTTTGCTTCAGGGTTTTTGTAGTTCCTATTAATAAGTGGAATGAGTTTTTTTTCTATTCTTAATTTGCTGATGGTTTTTTATCATAAACAGATGTTAAATTCTATCAAATGTGTTTTCTGTATCTATTGAGGTGATCACATTTTTCTTCTTTAGTTTGTGGATGATTTTCTTTAGTATATTTGTCATTGACATAGATTAATTTTCAAATATTGAACAGTTTTCAATCTCAGGATCAATCATACTTTGTCACAATGCATTATCTTTTGTATATATTGTTGGATTCATGCTAGTATTTTTTAAGGATTTTACATTTATGTTCATGAAAAATATTGGTTGTAGCTTTCTCTTCTCATATAGTATTAGGGTAATGTATAGGTAAAGTACTAAGGTGTCTGGGTAATGCTGGCCTCATGAGTTGGAAGTGGTCTGTCCTCTTCTATTTTCCAGTAGGATTTGTTTAGTACTGGTATTATTTCTTCTTGAAATGTTGGTAGAATTTGCCAATGAAGCCATCTGGACCCGGAGTTTTAATTTATTAGAAAGTCTTAATATAATTCCAGTTTCTTTAATAGATAATCTGAACAGTGAACCTAGGTAATTTTCATCTTAAGGAATTTGTCCATACCATCCAAGTTGTAGAATTCGTAGATAGTTATTCATAATATTCCTTTATTATCCCTTCCAATGCCTGGAAGGTCTTAGTGATGTCCCCTCTTTCGTTCCTAATATTTGTAATTTGTGTCTTTTTTTTTCTTGGTCAGTTTGTCCAGGGGGTTGTATTAGTTATTGTTTGATAATAAATTACCCCAAAACTTAGTGTCCTCAAACAACAAATGCTAACTCACAGTTTTTCTGGGTCAGACATCTGGGAGTGGTTTAGCTAGTCAGTTCTGACCCAGCATTTCTCATGAAGCTATAATCAAGACGTCAGCTGGAGCAGTAGTCGTCAGGTTTGACTGGGACTGGAGAATCCACATCCAAACTCACTCATGGGGCTATTGACTGAAAGCTTCATTTTTTCACCACATGGGTATGCCATGGGAGCAGACTTCCCCCAGGGTGAGTGATCCAAGAGAAGAGAGCAACAGAGAGAGTCTAAGTCTTTTAGAAGTAGAATGCCATCACTTCTTCCATATGCTATTGATCTCACAGACCAACTTTCATACAATATAGAAGGGGACTACAAAGGTTATAAATAGCAGGATGCAGGGATCATTGGGGGGCACTGTGGAGGATGGATTCACATCTTAATAACCTGTTCACAGAATCAGTTTTTGTTTTCTTTGATTTATCTCTATTATTTTTCTATTCTCCATTTTATTGATTTTTGCTCTTATCTTTATTACCTTCTTTCTGCAGATAGATAAATCTTACCGAGGAGATGTGTATGATCTCTTTCCTGGGACATTCCAAACCATTGAGTTGTTTGCTGATCACCCAGGGACATGGTTGTTACACTGTCACGTGTCTGACCACATCCATGCTGGCATGGAGACAACCTACACAGTCCTTCGGAACATAGGTACTGCTTTCTGTCGGGGATGATGTACCAGGCTTCCTGTAGGCCCTGAAAATAGGAGACTTAAGAGCCCCCAAGGGCTCAGAGTCATGTAAGAGAGACAGACATATAAACAGTAACTATTATAGAATATGATATGTGCCAACATAGAATGCAGAGTACAGGGCTCTGTGGAGATAATGGAGATAATGGTTAACAATGTAGGGACATGAGCAAACATTCTAGAAGCTATAATGCTTCAGATGGATCTTAATGGGTGAGCAGAAGCTTGAAAGGTAGATGGGGTAAGGACAGTGTGTGTATAGGTATGTAAAACAGTAAGAACTTAAGAAAGCCCTGCAGATACAAACAGGATAAAGTCCTCCTTGGTAAAATGGCATAACCCTTGAAATAACTCGTGTTGTGAAAAGAATCTACTTTTGTTGTTTATAAAACAATCAATTTTGTCATCTTTGTCCAGACAACAGGATCCCTTACTCCACGAAATCTCCATCTGGAGGAAAATCCCACCCAGCCACAGTGCCCCCCAATGGTAATGATACCCTCCCTGAATCCCTCATGCAAATGGTCAGCATTCACTTCCTAGAGAAGGGCAGAGGACTGACTCCTCACTTTTCTTTTCACAGGAGAACCTGGCAAGGAGCAGCTCTATTTCTTTGGCAAGAATCTGGGTCCTAGGGGAGCCAAAGTAGCCTTGGTCATCCTCTTCATCATTGGACTCCTCCTCCTGATCTCCACAGTGATTCTCTCCCTCAGACTGCGGTCGGCAAGGAAGCAGGTCGCATACCGGGAAGTCCAGTCCTGCGCACTCCCCACGGATGCTTTGTGAACCAGCTGGTCGTCCTCAGCAGGGAAACTGGACAAGGCATCGTTCATCAAGACAGGTTTACATTATACCTTGGATCAGGCTTTGATCCTCCAGAACACAATCATAGCAATTTGCTTTTACTTATTTATTTTTTTAATGGGCTGTGAATAATCCTCAGGTATAAAATACAGAAAGAAGAACAGGTGTGACTGAGAAAACACAGTCTGTTCTCTGAAAGAGTTTGCTGAAGTGGGACAACCTTCTGAAAGATATCTCTATTTTCCTTTTTTTTTTTTTTTAATTCTTAGATTAGACAGTGCTTCCTCAGCTAACCATCCAAGTTTCTAGATGGACGACTTTGGGAGTTATACTGCTTTGGGCACCTAAGTGGAATGGCACTGATTTTTCAACACTATATAATGTTACATAAGATGTTTCCCTTAGTCATTTCAGGGAAAATAACTTCTTGAGGAGTTCATGAAAATGTCTAAACCACTATCTGCTGATAGAATTTGACCAAATGAAGCTTTTGGAGGCCTTAGCCAGGTCTCCTGGCCTTTTCCACTTTAATATAAATAGCCTGTGCTCTGTTTGCTACAGAAGGCAAAGTTATCAGCATTTTTTTTTAAAAAAAATGCTGCTGTTTTTATGCAAACCTGCAGAGATACTTTGATGTTTACAACTCACGCCATGTTATATGTTTTTACAAAGTTTCCATGGCAACAGGTTTTTTGCCCTCCAAAAAATCATCCAGAGAATTTGTATTGTATTTTAGAATGTGGAGGGCCGGAAGTTCTACAAGAGAAGCATAAGATCTCCCACTGTGAAGCAGAGACTTCCTAAAAGTTACGTGGGAGCTCCTGCGTGGGAGGGAAGCTTTACAGAAGGCGAATCTGGACTTGAGACTTGAGTCTGATTTTTTATTCACCTAGCAGATCTTTCAAAGTCTGCATCTTCTAGGAAATAAAAACAGTCTCATCATGTGAGCAACACCAGGAGGAAGTCATCAGTGCAGCTGACTGGTGGGGAGAAGAACTCTCACAAAATCCTTGATTCCATGCCTCTTAAAGACAGCCCTTTGGGGGAGGAGAAAAGAAAAAACCAAAAAAACAGAAAAGAAAAGGCTAAAAAAAAGAGAGTCCCAGTTGTAAGGTTTTAAATCATTAAATTGGTTTTGAAGACATGCATTACAGTTTTCAAGACTCAAATGCAAAAATAAATTACCAGACAATTAAACTCAACCCATTACAAGGTGATCCACACTCTCTGTATACATGCCTAAACGTTAGATTAAGATTGATAAAAGCAACTTTGCTTATTACTAGACTGAGAAATTGCCCTTAACTCAGGGCCAGATGCCCTGCGATGCCAATGTCAATGCCAGATGAGTGATATCGGTACATCTGCCTTAGCAGATCATTTGGCTGTCCAGATGAACAAGTAGAACCTAAAAAAATACTCTGGTGGAGGGACCTTTCCTACTTTCTCATCTTCATCTTGGTGAGGGAAAATGGGTAATTTGATAGAAGCTATAGTCTTACATGAAACAGGATGCGGATGCTAATAGTTCTGTTCTTAGTTGGCTTGAACGTCATATCCAACAGTGTACCCAAAGGATTCTGAATTCCAGCCTGCTAACCACTGACAATGTGATTTTGTAGTAAGTGTTCTACGGTTTTCATACATGTGTAGGCTGTATAATTTCATAGTGATAATTATGTTAAATGCCTTATTTATAACTCACCTAGATAACAAATTATTTAGTTTTTTTCCCTTTTCTCTTAGTCTATTTTTTTAATGAAAATGAAACCATAAAGTAGTTTGATTACACACCATTTCTCTTTTTAATAAAGTTTCACAGATTATGAGATGGCTACTTGCTTTTTTTTTTTTTTTTTTTTTTTTTTTTTACTATTACCTGATCACTAGACATAGGGCAGGGTTGGTTAAAGGAGAATAGTCTTTTAGATATTCAGCAATTATCCTTGTTATACCTGCTAAGGGAAATGAAACAGAATAACAATATATCTCCCAAAGACTATGACTATCCTCAAACATTGTTTCCTCAAATGTACCATACTTCTTCCTCTGCCTCAGTCCTTGAGAAAATCAATTACAATTAGATACATCTCCTGTTACACTGAAGAAGTATCCCTGCTCCTACCAGGGCAGGTTTCTTCCTTAGCTCTGGACTTATACCTTCTTGCTCTCTCAAGAACTTCATTCCCTCAGTGTTCAGCTTTTTCTACTACATGAAGTCATTGGCAGCACCCACTATTAAAAGACAGAGGGCTGCTCTCTTTAATTTCATATCCCTCTCTAACCCAGTTTCTCTGTTCTCTTCATAGCAGAACTTTTTGTCTGTACCACCTCACCTCATGAATTCCTCAACCCATTCCAGTGACTTCCAACTCAGTGTGCCTTGCTCCCACCTCCCAGTCTGCTGTTGTCAAAATCAACAACCATGAAGCCATTTCTAATGGCTTCCTCACCTTGATCTCACTCAACCTGTCCATAACAACTGATGGCTCCTTCTTTCGAAATGCCCCATAGTCCCCTGGCTCATCACCATGACCCCCTTGCCAGCCTTCCTTCTTCCTTTGGCTCTTCCTTCTCAGTCTCTTGCTGGTTCCTTCTCTCCCATCTAACTTAAGTGTTGGCATGCCTCAGGGCTTGCCACTGGGCCCTCTTCTCTCTTTTGCCCTTGGGGGTAGGCTTAATAATGTCCCCAAAGATTTTGTGTCCTCATCTCTGAACCTGTGTTATTTTATATGGCAAAAAGGACTATGCAGTGAAGTGAAGGATCCTGAGACAGACTACTCAGGTTGTCCATAAATAAAAGTCACAGCACTCTTCTAATAGAGGCAGAGGGAGGTTTGTCTACGGAAGAAGACCATGTGACAACTGAAAAAGGACACTGTGCCATGGCTTTGGAGTTGGAGGAAGGGGCCACAAACCAAGGAATGCTGCTGTAAAACCTGGAAAAGGCAAGGGAACAGATTCTCCTCCAGAGCCTTCAGAGGGAGCTTGGTCCTGCCAGTGTCTTGTATTCCAGTGAACATGATTTTGGATTTAAGAGCTCCAGAACTGTTAGAGAACACATGGGAGCCATCAAGTTTGTGGTCATTTTTTACAGCCTCCTCCATATGTTATTTCATCCATTTCACTTTTAATTATATCCAATTTGTTTACCTTGGTATGGGACCCAGCCTGATTTGGCCCATGCACACCTCTCCAACTTGATCTCCAACTCTTCCCTGCTCTAGCTTTGATCAGTTCTTGTGTCCTTTCTGCCTAGTTCCTTTCTGCCTCGGGACCTTTGCACACGCTGCTTTCTGTGCCCAGAGTACTCTTCCTCTCCAGCACTCTCATCCCCCTTCCTACCTTTCCTGGCCATCTTTCAGCTTCTCAGACTTTCCTCTGTTATTTCCCAGAGTCACTGTTTTCCTTTGTAACACTTATCACAAGACATGACCATTTTATCTTTCTGTCAGCTTGATTTTCTTCTGCCTCTTTGACTGCAATGTAGGCTTCATGGAAGCAAAGACCCCTTTTTTTTGCTCACTGTCCCAGCCCAGAACACAGTGCAGATACATAATCGTTGTTCAGCAAATATTACTTGATTGAATGTATAAGCAGAACAGATGGTGTAGTGGGCTGGACTAGTCTGACTTTGACTATTTTGGTTGCAAAATTCTCATATTCAAATGTCAAGGGTCTAAAACAAACAAAACAGATTCTGGGATGCGTGCAGTGAGGTCCACAGCTGCTTTGGCTTCCTTCTAATGACACTGGAGCAGGGGTGGGGGCGGGGAGGAGCATGTATTATTCAATCCCTAAATGCACTTTACAACTAACAACAACAACAAAAAAGCAATGTCATCAAAAATAACTCTAACTGTCACAGCTAAGAGGGACTAAGGAGATGTGACAACTAAACACAGTGTGGCATCCTTAGATGAGATCTTAGAACAACAACAACAAAAGGATACAAGGTAAACATTAAGGAGATACGAATAAACTAGATTTTCATTAATATTATTACTGTATTAATAATGTAATCTGATCAACCATCAGATTTTGTATATTAGGAGAGAGGAGCAAGAGAATTTGGAAATTGGTTGTGGCAGCTGGGAGACATGGAAGCTGTAAAGATAGCGCTGGAGGCTTCTGAAGTTGAGTTGGCGGCTAAAGAGCGGGAGATCGCGCAGCTGGTAGAGGATGTGCAGCGACTCCAGGCCAGCCTCACGAAGCTGCGGGAGAACTCAGCCAGCCAGATCTCCCAGCTCGAGCAGCAGCTGAGTGCCAAGAACAGCACACTCAAAGTAAGGGCGCCGTGCGGGCCACGGGCCGAGGGAGGGCCGGATGCACACACGCGCACACACCCTGCCTCTTGCCTTCCTCCTCATGCGACCCTGGAGGGAGCCCAGGGCGAAGCGGCCCAGGGGGCCGATTCTGTCCTCACTGTCTGGGACACATGCTGGGTGTCTTTACTGCAGCAAGAGGCCTTCGTTCCAAGGCCACCTTGTCAGCCCCGCCTTGGCCGTTGCACAAGTGTCTTTCACGTTTGTGGTCTGCCCTGGTCACGGTCAGAATCCGTCCTCACCTTAAAAGCAGACGCGACGGCTCAGGGTTTGACAGCCTGAGCTCCAACCATCGGCAAGAGTTTCTCCCTCCGGTAAGAACATTGGGAACAGAAGGAGGCATGAGGTTCCCCTGAACACATCTCTCGGAGGCACAGGCACACGGGCTGGCAGAGCTCCCTTCCGGAGAGCATCTTGTCTGGAACTGACTGCAAATAGGACAACCTTGAACCTCCGTGAGGGAGCTAGAAGCAGAGTCCGGAGCCCAAGGCAGGGAGAGTGAGTCTGAACCCTTCTTCCAGCTCTTGCCAGGATGGCACTGCCCTTGACAGGCCGTCCCTCGCAGGCAGTGCTTGGTGGAAGGCCCCGTCCTCAGGGCCCACCCACGATGCTGCTTCCCCACCTGGCCTCCCGAAGAAGGACATTTTGTGCACCTGCTTGTGTGGGATTGAATTCGTTGCCAAGGTCGCAGGCCGTCTGCACAGACATGCCTTTCGTCCAGCTCTGCCAGCCTTTCAGTATATTTTAAAAAATAATTATACTTGATTGGAGATATTTTCAACCTGTTACAGTTTGCACAATACGAGGAAAATCCTCGCACCCTAGACTTGTGGCGTGTCTGGGCCAGAAGGGCCTCCTCAGAGGTGTCCTATCTGATGATGAGTGACGGGGCCAGCAAGGGTGTGGGCCCGGCCCCCGGGCGACACAGGCCCCCACTCTGCCATCCGTCCCCAGCCTGCGCAGTGCCCGCCCAGCATCTGTTCGTGGAGTGCGAATGATGGCCAAGCACGGTCTTCACGTACTAAATACGGTGCATCAAGATCAGCTGTGAAAATGTCAGGAAAACTTTGTCTTACGTAAAGGAATTCCAGAGTGTAGTTAGGCCCGTTTTAATTTTTTTGAAAAACCGAGATTTCCCTTCCCAAGGCACGACCGTGTTTCTGACCTCAAGCCGAGCTACCAGCTGGTGGGGAGCTTGCCGGTCTGACCTCCCTGACCCGGGGCACCCACTGCTCTCCCTCCTGGTTTCCTCCTGGCCTCTTCGGGGTGCTTGTCGTCCACCGTCCAAGAAGCTAGCTGCCGGGTGCCTGGGCCCCTCTGAGGAGCCACCCCTGCTGATGTGGGGAGAGGGTTGACACATTCGTTATTGACCAAAGCATTATTTCTTCCATGGTTCTTACTCTCCCATCAGCCTGCCCAATGAGTGCCAGTGTTCATTTTTTATTTCTAGATTAAATCTAATTTTCTCGTGTTACAGCCATTTCTGACCCCAGCAGTGACATTATTATTAGATAATTTGCCTTTTGCTGCTTTGTTATAGTTAAGGGGTATGACTCAAGATACATCCTGCGTTTGACTAGGAGAAGGAGGCTATAGACCTTACATTTTTTATTATGGAGCAATTTCTTCTAAATCAGTTAAGGCTTTAATGTTTGCCTTCACACACACAAAAAATGAAACGCAGTTTCACAAATTAATGTTCTTTATCCGTATCTTGGGGGAATTCTTTAATACGGTGCAGTTAATGAAACAATTTGGCAATACTTCTTCCAAAATTATCGCTCCCTTATCTTCATCTGATCTAATAATCAAAACATATCCTCTAGTAACAAGACTTCTCTGATTCTAATTATCTTAACCCCTTGTCACCAGGAGTGAAGATCTCCCCAATACCAAACCCTTGCACAAAAGGCATTAGCCTCCCCCAGACAAGCTCATCTACCTCCCTCACCCGAAGGAGGAAGGTTAATTGAATGAGATATCTTCCCGGGGCTTTTCCTTTTTTTTTTTTCTAATGTGTGTAATTTATAGTCTCAAATCTAAACTAAACAGCAATACGGTTATTAGGAAAAATATGTTCTGAACGAGATCCATCAGATTGGCAACCTGATGCTTTTGCGACGGGAGAGGGGGTGAGGGGGTCTCTGGCCCGGCAGCCGGAGACGCTGGGACACATGGTGCGGGGCTTGAAGCGGGATTGCTGGCTGGGGATGCTTCGGCTGACAGCCCCACTCCTCTTTAGGGCGTCAGGGGGCATGGTTTTGCCATGAATGCCAATGGCGCTCGGGGGCTTGATCTCACAGGGCAGCGTCTCCGCTCTTGAGCTTGTCGGGGTTTTCTCGGTGGCATACGCTGAAATGGAATATATTTGGGGACCCGTGGGTTTGCTTTCTCTAGCACCTCAAAAGTCTCCATCTCTTGCAACAACCGTTTCCTCATTCAGACGATCAATCGGTAATTCCGGGAGGGTGAATCAACATGGAAGCTGTAAAGATAGCGCTGGAGGCTTCTGGCTAGGGTGGATGGGTGGATGGTAGTGCATTCAGCCAGATAGATAGGGAAGACAGGAGTTCCCCTGGAGGGGAAGATGACTGCAGTCCCGGCCATTGTGAGTCCAAAGTCCTGTGAGCCATCCCAGTGCAGAGCTGTGTAAACTGCTGGATGTGCGTTCAGAGGACAGGTCAAGATGGAGATACGCCTAAGAGACTCGAGGGCAGACGGCAGACGGGGAGATTAGCCTGGGCCCGCCCAGCTACAAAGGGCAGAGTAGGCAGCCCAGCTCAAGCAGCCTCCCGTTTAAAGGTCCCGTCAGCTGCAAAGATGTGGGCTAGAGCATCTCCTCCTGTTTCTCCACTTCCTGTAAGGGGTTCAGAAGCAGCTGTTTGCAGCCTCTAATCCCACCCACCCGCGGACAGCCGGGGGCCGGCTCCCGCATCAAGGCTCGGCCCACCAGAGCCGGAGGAAAAGCGCAGACCCGGGCAGCGATCATAGAAATGTGAGACTCTGGCGCACGGAGGGCTCCCCCCAGACCTCGCGCCTCCACTCGCACAAGCTCCCCGGAAGGGTCCAGAGTCCACTCTTCTACACCCTTGGACTGGCTTTTATGGCGGCCATTGCCCTTTGAAGCGTTTACAGCTCCTTTTAAGCTGGTTCCACCGTGTAGAGTTGTTAGCGGGGCGTCAAGGGGGACCGTCCTGTCCACAGTGTGAAAAGCCGCTTTCAGAAATGATTTCCAAAAATCCTGGGCTAGGAACGGGGAAGGCTGAGGCCGAGGGGGGCGCGAGCAATTCGGAGGTAGTGCTCAGTGCGAAGATGCCTCTGCGGAGGCGGATCCTGGGGACCCCGCACGGGGCGGCGCCCACCCCACCCGCGTCACCGCGGTTTCCGGCAACTCCAAGCGCCCGGGCTCGCCGGCTCGCCCAGGGTCCCGGAAGAGCGCGGCGGAGAGAGCGGAGGGTCGGCGGGCAGGGGGGCGGCTTGCGGGGCGGCTTCGGACCCTGGGGCGGGGCGGAGGGGTGGCGGGAGCGGCTGCCTCTCGCGCCTCCGGACGCCGGCGAGGCGGCGAGCGGCGCGCGCAGCCGGGAACCCGTACTGGGCGAGCGCGCGGGGGCGGGCCGGCGGCGGACGAGCGAGCGCGAGAGCTCCTGCGCCCGGGCTCACGGCGGGAGTCTCGGCGGCGGTGCTGTGGCTCGCTGGGAGCCAGGAGCCCCGACACACAAAGGCTGGGGGAGCGGAGAGGGGATGTGTGAGCAACCGGGGAGCCGGGAAAGGGAAAGCGAAAGCCGCGGCCGCGGCAGGTGACGGCGAAGGCGCGGTATCCGGGCCTGCCTTCCAGGGCCTGTCGGGCTGACCCCGGCGCGCCGCAGCCATGGCTATCGCCCACCTGGCCACCGAGTACGTGTTCTCGGACTTCTTGCTGAAGGAGCCCTCGGAGCCCAAGTTCAAGGGGCTGCGGCTGGAGCTGGCGGTGGATAAGATGGTCACGTGCATCGCTGTGGGTCTGCCTTTGCTGCTCATCTCGCTGGCCTTTGCGCAGGAAATCTCGATCGGTAAGGCCGGTGCCGGAGGGGCGGGGTGGGGCCGGCCTGCGCGAGCGGGCGTTATCCGAGGAGCCCAGGTCTGGTGGGAAGAGATTTTATTGCGCGCCCCTGGAAGCCCTCTCAGGCTGCGATGGGCGTGAACGTTGGGAAGAAAGGGAGCCCCAGCTTTATGTGTATTCTTTGCCCACGTGGTTCATTTTATAACCGTGTGGATCCTGATTGCATCCCTACTGCTCAGTTCTTCTGCCTGCTTCCCCACTGATCCTGAGTGGGGCTTAGCGTTCATGTCCGGCTCTTAGGACCAGCGCCCTTGCGGTCAGATTTGTCGAAAACAGCGGTCTCCTATTCCCTTCCCTCTCACCCCTGCATTTGTGTAATTACCTCAAAATTTGGAGCAGAGAAGTTCCTGAGTGGCTGAATGGAGGATGTGAAGAAAAGTACTCCATGAAATGTATGTTCTCCCTTCATTATCTCACTTTGAGTTGATACTGGTTGAGACTTCAGCTCTGCGGGGTCATGAGTGCTGGGAAATGACAGCACCTGGCAGGTATTAGAGGGATAATACCAGAATCCTCCACCCGGACGGCATTGCTACGAATGTGGGATGAACAAGTCCCCATCATGTAGACTATCGTTTACTCATAACACTTCCGAAGTGCGAAAGTGTTTGGGGCAGGATCAGGTGGCTAATAAGACCAGTCTTTCTCATCAGCTGTTCTGACTTACAACATAGGAGAGGATGCTTTTGAGTCAGTGGGACAGCTATAGCCTGTTCAATACGAGAGAAGAGAGGTGGGTGGCAATGGACCTTGGGGAAAGCTTCTATGGGTCCTGAGCCCTGGAGCACAGGTGGGATTTGGATAAGCAAAGGTCGCTAAGATTTTGAGATTTCACAGAATGTTACATGTTCCTGGAAGGAGAGAGACGGTGACCGTCCCTGCTGAGGCAGGAGAGTTAGTCACCGTTCTTGGGATAGGAGCATGAATATGGGTCCAGTTTATTAGAACAGAGGAGTACAGACTTGATGATTTTCAGAGTGCGAAGTTACTGTTTGAGCAGAGGACGGACCTGTTGAAAGCAGGGCTTAATAAACCTGATGGTAACATACAGGGTCTAGGGTCAAGGAGGGAAGTGGAACTAGGGAGGCCAGATACCAGATGATGGGGCACTAAATGAGGTCTTATGCATATGTGGGGGCCAAGATTTGAAGGGGAAGGATGGGAGAGGATGATTTCTAAGAGATCAAGGAACAATAAGCAGCCCTTGGGTACCTAGTTTTTAATAGGTCAAGAAGGGTAGATATTGACCAGAGTTGTTGGAAAGGCTGCAGACCTGAGTGACTGGAAAATGGTGGTGCCTGCAGAGGGGAGAAGCAGAGGGAGAAGAGGAGAGACTCTCCAGCGGACTCCCCGCTGAGTGCGGAACCTGACGCAGGGCTCCATCTCATGACCCTGAGATCACCACCCGAGCTGAAATCAAGAGCCTGAGGCCTGAGCCACCCAAGTGCCCTGAGAATGGTGGTATTTTGATGGGACTTCTGAAGTTGCAGAAGGAGTTGGTTAGAAACGGCTTATGGTGAGCTTGATTTTGTGATCTACAGCACTAAATTGTTCAACTTGGCAGGAAGTTGCCAAATTCCTTGTGGAAAACAAGTGGTCGGGGTTTTTTTTTGGTCTTTGGGCAGGCAGAGTCATGCAGTTTCTCCTGCCTTCCAGCTGGCAAGGAGTCGGGACTTCTGGTAGAAAGGAAAACCACCAAGTAGCTGGGGTCCTGGAGATAGTCTCTCCTTCTGCAAATGTTCTTTGAAGACCAGCTGTGGGCTGGAGCCTGTGCTAGGCACTGAGGGCCCAAGAGCAAATGAAGCACGGTCCCCATCATGGAGAGGCGGTGGTCCTGGGCCTCTGATGCCAGGAGGAGGGAGTTGGTTACCTTCTGTGTTCAAGCTTAATGTCCACCCGCATAGTAGGGGCATCCCGGAGGCAGAAGCCCTCTCGACACGTTCAAGTTGATGGGCTGCCAGAGGGGCGTTCGGTTGGGATTGGGAGTCGGTTTATCCAGCAGCAATCTGAGCTTGTGCTAGGTGCAGAGCACTGCTGTGTGTTCAGTGGGACACGAGAGGAGGTCCAGGCATGGTCTTCTTCCCGCCCTGCAAGAGTTTACCCCCCATCTGGGGGCTAGGACAGACGTGCTGACCGGTGATGTCCAGCAGCACGTGGTTCAGTGACAAGACAGTATCAGGCTCTGAGCGCTCAGCCGCTGAGGGCTGGCGGGGACTTGGGTGATGCTGTGGAGCAGACTCCCCTTATTCTCATGGGCTTCCACAGGGAGGGCAGGCACGGGGGATCCCAGCTGCACTGGGGAACACCTCTTAGGTGGAGTGCTTATTAGATAGTGCCAGAAAGAGAGAGAGTAGGGAGGAGAAGAGAGGTACATAAATTCATGCATGGAGTCATGTCAGGCAGCATTGAACTTTGTGCAGTGTCAGCTCTTCGGTGAAAGCAAGAACAAGCAGCGTGATTAAGAACAGTGACAACAAAGAGAGAGGGGAGTGATTCAATGGAGCTGACCCCCACCACTTCAGTCAGGAGCGCTGGCCCCGAGCACGTGTGAGACAGGCCTGCACACTTAAAACCTGGCTTCCTCCTCCCTCATGAGAAGTCCTCCCCATCTTGCTGGTGCCTCGAACATTCTTCCGAGGTTGCACTTTGCACGTTGCATTATAACGTGTTTACGTGGCTCCCTTGCTTATGAGTTACTCCGTATTCTGTTGCTCCCTAGAAGCTGGAGTCTTGTCCGGCACGTGGAAGCCCTTCTGTAAGGCTTGTCGAGTGAACGAGAGGTGGTAGGTTTTGGCATCATCGACGTTTGTTGAGCCTGGTGTGCACGATGGCTGTTCTTGGCAGTGGTCGTCAGACCCTTATAGGACAGAGAACCTACCACTTGGAAGATGGTTGAGCAGAAAAGATGGTCATAACCTCCTCTTGCAGGACTCATGGCATCTGGGCGGTGTCAGAGGTGTGCAGCTGGGTGCTGTGGAAAGCAGAGGGAGGGGTGGCTTCTGACTCAGGGTAACAGTCACGAGCAGGGGAAGAGTTCGAAGGGAACTCTGAAGATGGGTTCCAGATATATGGTGCAGTGCGTGCCAAAGCAGCAGGGCATGGGATGCCATGTGGCTGTGGGGCTTTAGGAGCAGGCATGGTCACTTGGGAAACGAAAAAGGGGGAGTCAGGTCAGTCCAGAGGTGCTGCTAGGGAAGAGGGTGCAGTAAATCTCACTGCTTTCCCGCCACTGTGGGCGTGTGTATACAAAATGTGAAAATCACCTTTAGTGGCTACAGATACCAATTTTCCTCTCTTCCTCTGACATTGATATCCTGGTATACATCAAAATGTGTTGATTGTGATATGATATCCTCTTAAGCCTAAAATAACTTTTTGTTTTCCAGTTTCTGAAAACTAAACTTTCCATGAACTAGTAGTCTATAAAATAGGATCCAAGTCATAAATGGGTGACAATTTTTACTTTAAGGAAACATTTTCTTTTAAAGAAAGAGTTCTACCAAATCTGAAAATTTGCACAGACTTTTTGGAATTAAAAAAGTACACGTGAACAGAAGCAGAATGTGGATGAATGGAGTGAGACCTCACGATAAAACCGACTGGGGTTTATATTAAAGGCTTCTCCTTGGTCTTGGGCCCATTTTCTCACTAGTTCAGCCCACTGGGCTTCTCTCAGAAAAGAGGGACAGACCCTGCCCAGGCCACAGAGACTCACAGGTGGGGCAGTGAAGGACTGTTATTTAGGCCCTCCTGGGTGCTGGCATGGGGGGATGGGGGCTGCAGGCAGAGCCCATGCCACAGAGATTTTGCCCCCCGCCCTCCCCTGCAGCAGCAGATATGGCCTGGCGTGGTGGGCGCTGGTGTGGGGCTGCCAGCACTGGGGAGGATTGCTGCGGGGGTGGGGAGCAAAAGGGGCTCTGCCTTGCTGTCTGCCGGCAGGTTGTGGGTCATCGTAGAAATGATGAGGCGCAGAAGACCAGAGAGGGTGTGGTGCCAGCAGTCAAGTTCAAAGCAACTCTGGTAGCCTTTGCAGCAACAAGCCTGCTTGTTGATCCTGACTGCCCTGCGATGGGGAGAATTACAAGCAGAAACATTCTGGAAGGAGTCACTAAGGGGACTTTTCTAAGCCCTGAGTTGTTGCTGGGAGCGTTTGGAAGGCTTTTGGAGCAATAGCTCCTGACTGTTGAAATGATGTAAGAGTTAAAATATGGTCTGGTCTGGTGTGGCCTGATACTTCTGCTCTGCTCGCCTCAAACACTCCAGGCCCAGCTCCCCAGTGGGCAAGTTGGGTATGGAGAAAAAAACAAGCGAATTTTGCATTAGCTGGTGCACACCAGAAGTGTTGGTGTCCTCATGACTGGACTGGCAAGACTGGGATGGGAGCCAGAGAAGGGGGAACTGATGCTCTGTTTTACCAGCCCTCCCTTTTGCTCACCCCTTGCCTTGCCTCATGTCTTGTCCACAACAAGTGCTCAGTAAAAATAGAGCAAAGGAAATGCTGGAGCTCATTAAGGACTCTCTGGAGTTGTCCCCTGGACTGTGGCTGGGCTCAGAGGGAGCAGGGGCGTTGCGGGCAAGGGGAAGCATGGAAGACGGGAAGCCAGGTCCAGATGCTAAGGTTGCCAGGTCCCACCCAGTGCCTGGAATTCACCAGCTAGAGGCAGGGGTTCCTGGTATGGAGAGGGACACTTCCCAGTCGCTGGGCTACCCGTGTCATTTAAGAACACAAGTCATGTCCAGTCATGGATTCCTTCCTGACATCTCCTCCCAATAATAGCATTCTCGGATACCAGTCATCATGGAAGGGAGCCAAGCTGCCCCACTTGACTTACAAGGGTAGGTTATATTTCAAGTACCTCAGATTCCCTTTTGCAGTTTTTGTGACGAGGAGGGAGCTGTGTTTGTAGTGCTGAAGGGCTCTACTATGTAGGGCAGTGACCGTCATTCCCT